AATAAGGTTGTGGAGGTTATACGGAATGAGTCAGCGGTCTTTAAGTGCCTGGTGACAGATAGCAGGTTTGACGGCGAAATAACATGGTTTGACTTGAACAGTGACATAATTTTACTTTAAGAATTTTATAATCAAGTGTATGAAAAATGATATAATCTTAATTTTGTAATCTCTATTATTTCAGGTTAAAAGACTATCATCCAATTTCAGTAAATCCGGCAAAATATACGTTGTCACAGGGCAATCGTAAATTACATGTTGCCAAGTAAAATTTCTTGTTTTGTTTTTACTGCAGTCACTTGAGCAAACTTAAAATTTGTTGTTTTAATTGTTAGAAAGGTTTCTGAAATGAACTGTAAAATTTAATTTAGACTTTTGACAGGCTTCACATATCAATCATTTTAGAAGTGACTTACGTGATGAGGGAGTGTATACCTGTCGGGTCCGAAACTATGCCGGTGAAAACAAAGTTGATTATAGATTGTCAGTGCTTGTACCACCAGAAATTATAATGCTTGATAAAGATAAAAACAGGTCATAATTTTATTGCCTCTCTGTTTTTATCGAGTTTTCAAAATCATTGAATTGTTTAAGTTGTAGTTCTAAATACCCATACTCCGAGATTTGATTTTGTCTAATTTTTTAGAACTGTTAAAGAAAATAGCGCCGTAACGTTGAGTTGTCCTGCAACTGGCAAACCTGAACCAGTAATTCAGTGGTATAAGGATGGTGAACCACTGACTGTTGAGAATATTACAGAAAAAATTCGATATGCAAGGTTGAGCGGAAATGAATTAAAGATTGGACGAGTAGAAGTACAGTTTCATATAATTATTAGAAAGTTTTGGCCTTTTTATTGTTAAAGAGTTCCAGTAAGGGTATTTCAGGAAAATTATTTTTTGTTGATTACATTTTTTATATTTAGACTACTGATTCGGGACGTTTTACTTGTGAAGCGAGAAATAAAGCGGATGTTGCTGAACAAGATGTTTTGCTTTACGTCATGAGTAAGATTTCAATACTCTTGCTTGAAAATTTTTCGAAAAACTTCACTACTTTATGACTAAAACGTTTAAAGTTGAACAGATTGTAGGTTAAAGTCATTTCATTTAGCTACACCAAAAATAGATCGAGAAGGAATACCGGACAAATATCACGTTAAAAAAGATGGAAGTGTTTCAATCAGCTGCCCTGCTTACGGGCGACCGCCTCCTAATGTGACCTGGCTAAAATCAGGTCAACCGTTGGAGTATTCCCCAGAAACTTATACTTCGGCCAGTGGAATGAAATTACACTTTTTACATTTACGCAAGGTACCGGATTAGACACGCTGGTATTTTCCATCGTTTTTTTTTCAAAGAACAACAAGTAATACTTGTAGGAAGATGAAGGCCGGTATACTTGTATAGCAAAAAATAATGCTGGAGAAGACAAACGAGACTTCACTATAACTTTACAGGGTAAGATTTTGTCGCAGTCTTTGACCAATGTGTTTTTATGTAAACCGCACGTTTAGAGGGCGCGAAGATCGAGGGTCCTAATATACAGAAGAGTGTAAACGTGAATGAAGGAAGAACAGCTATACTAAACTGCCCAGCGACCGGCAGTCCGGAGCCAACAATCTCGTGGTTGCTCAAAGGGGTGCTGGTTACGCCTAGTGATAGACATATATTCCTAAACGGTGGACGACAGCTTCAGATAAGCAATGCTGAAAGTATCGACGATGCAACGTAGGCTTTTTTATATATACTTTTTATCACTATTATATTTCCAAACTTACAGTTGTAGTGGACATTTGCGCAATTATTTTCATAAAAATTTATTATAAAGTTTGATTACATGACATTTAGTTTAGATACACTTGCATAGCAAGGAATGATGCTGGAACAGAAGAACTGCATATTCATTTATCGG